GGTCCTTTACTCTTTGTTAGATTTCTTCCCAAATATTTCTTTTTTTTGTTTCGCGATAAAAAAAAAAAAGGGGTGGTTTTTTGATTTCTTCTTCTTCAGATTTATTGTTTGTGTATAGGAAGGCTACTGACTTTTGCGTGTTGATTTTGTATCCTGCCACTTACTGCATTGATTGATGAGTTGAATTAGTTTTTCTGTGGAGATTTTGGGGTTCTCTATGTATTATATATCATCGCAATAGTGATAGTTTGACTTCTTCTTTCCTATTTGGATTCCTTGGATGTCTTCTCTTGTCTTATTGCTCTGGCTAGGACTTCCAGTATTATATTGAAAAGCAGTGGTGAGAGTGGACATCCTTGTCTTGTTCCAGATCTTAATGGAATTGCTTTCAGCTTTTCACCATTGAGAATGATACTGGCTGTTGGCTTGTCATAGATGGCCTTTATGATGTTGAGGTATGTTCCTTGTATCCCAAGAATTTCAAGGCTTTTATCATGAAATGGGTGTTGCACTTTGTCGAAAGCTTTCTCAGCATCTATTGATATTATCATATGGTTTTTATATTTCTTTTTCGTTGATGTGTTGGATAACGTTGATTGATTTTCGGATGTTAAACCATCCTTGTGCCCTGGAATGATCCAACTTGGTCGTGGTGAATTATCTTATGGATCATTGTTGGATTCTGATAGCTAAAATTTTATTGAGGATTTTTGCATCAGTGTTCATTAGGGAGATTGGCTATAGTTTTCCTTTTTGTGTTGTCCTTATTCGGTTTGGTTAGTAGGTAATATTGGCTTCATAGAACGTGTTTGGTATTGTCCCTTCCTTCTCAATTTTTTGGAAGAGTTTGTGAAGGATAGGCACTAATTCGTCTCTGAATGTTTGGTAGAATTCCTTTGTAAATCCATCAGGTCCTGGGCTTTTGTTTTTGGGGAGTTTTTGATTACCATTTCAATTTCACTAATTGTAATTGGTCTGTTTAGGTGTCTATTTCTTCTTTATCTAGCTTTGGGTGATTGTAGAGTTGTAGGAATTTGTCCATCTCCTCTAGATGTTGAACTTGTTTCCATATAACTGTCATAGTAGTTACTGATTATTCTTTTGATTTCTGCTGTGTCCGTTGTGATTTCTCCTCTTCATTTATGATTCTGTGTATTTGTGCTTTCTCCCTTTTTTCCTTTGTGAGCCTGGCTAGGGGTTTGTCTATTTTATTTTTTTTTTCAAAGAACCAGCTCTTGGTTTCATGATCTTTTGGATTGTTTTTTTAGTTTCAATTCATTTATTCTGCTTTGGTTTTATTATTTCGTTTCTTCTACTGGTTCTGGGGTTTTTTTGTTGTTCTTTTTCTAGATCTTTGAGCTTCGAGATTAGGTTGTTCTTGAGTTCTTTCTTGTTTTTTATGTGATGTGAGCTTCTATTGCTATTATTTTCCTCTTATTACTGCTTTTGCTGCATCCCATACATTTAGGATATTGGTGTCCTCCTTGTCATTCAATTCAAAGAATTTTTTAATTTCTTCTTTGATCTCCTCGTTAGTCCAGTGGTCTTCCAGTAGTGTGGCTTTTAATCTCCATGAGGTAGGATAGTACCTTGCCTTCTTTTTATGATTTATTCTAGTTTGATGCCTTCGGGTCAGAAAAGATGGTTGGTATGATTTCAATCTTGGTGTATCTGTTGATGTTTGTCTTGTGCCCAGTATGTGATCGATCTGGAGAATGATCCGTGTGCGCTTGAGAAAAATGTGTACTCCGTTTTTTTTGGGTTTAGTGTTCTATAGATGTCTGTTAAGCCCAAATGCTCTAGGTCCTTATTAGAGCTTTAGTTTCTTACTTATTTTTTGTCTTGTTGATCTATCCATTGTTGATAGTGGTGTGTTGAAGTCTCCCACTACATATGTGTTTTCTCTCTGATGTCTGTTTTCAGAGAGGACAACAGTTGTCTGATATTTTGGTGCTCTTTCGTTTGGTGAGTATATGTTAATAGTGTTATTTCTTCTTGAAATATTGTCCCCTTAATCATAATGTAGTGACCATTGGGGTCTCTTTTTATTTTTTGAGTTTGAAGTGTTTTATCTGATATAAGTATAGCTGTTCCTGCTTTCTTTTTGCCCATTTGCTTGTAGGATTGTTTTCCATCCTTGGACTTTGAGCCTATTTTTATCTTTTGTAGCTAAATGTGTTTCCTGGAGACAGCAAAAGGTTGGGTTTTGTTTCTTAATCCAGGCTGCAACTCTGTGTCTTTTTATTGAAGAGTTTAGTCCATTTACATTTAGAGTTAATATTGATATGTTAGCATCTGTATTTGCCATTATGTTTGTCTTTCCTTTGATTTTATTATTTATTCTTTAATAACTTTTTTTTTTCGGTCTTCTTTCGTTGTTATTCGTCCCTCTGAGGTTCTGGCTTTAGGATTCCTTGTAGTATTTTTTGGAGTGGGGGTTTAGTCGCAATGAAACTCCGGAGTTTCTCTTTGTCTGGGAAGGTCCATATTCTTTCTTCATGGAGGAAAGAGAGCTTTGCGGGATATAGAGTTTCTTGGTTGGCATCTGTTTTCTTGGAGTCTGTTGACTATGTCCCTCCACTCTCTCCTTGCCCGTAGTGTTTTTTCAGAGAATTCTGATGTCAGCCTGATTGGTTTTCCTTTGAATGTTATCTGTTTCTTCCCTCTTGTCAGCTTCATTATTTTCTTGTCCTGGATTCTTGGGAGCTTTACTATTATGTGTCTTGCTTTTTTCCTTTCGTCGTGGAAGTTTGGTGTTCTTCTTGCTTCTTGTATATCAATTTCAGCTCCTTCTTCTCATTGGGAAGTTCTCTTCAATTATATCCATGAATATTTTCTCTGTTCCTACATCTCTCTCTCCTCTCCTTCTGGAATCCTATAACTCTTATATTTCCTTTCCTCATGGAGTCAGATAGTTCCCGAAGTCTTTCTTCATTCTTTTCCTTCGTACTTCTCTTCCTTTTCTGTTTTGGTTCTTTTTATTTCTGTGTCTTCAAGATTACTTATTCGTTCTTCCATTTCATCTATTCTGCTTTCATTGCTTTTCCCAGAGTTCTTTAGTTCCTCCATTAATTCTTTGATCTCCCGCATTTCTCTTACTTCCCTCTTTAGGGACTCAATTTCCTTCTTCTGATCTATCACTTTTTTAATCATGGCAATTTTAAATTCTCTTTCTGGAAGGCTCAGAAGTTCTTCCAAGTTTGCTGTCGTTGCAATCTGGGGAGTGGTTTTCTTTTTGTGGTGTGCTTCTTTCCTGAGGAGTTTTTAGGTTGCGTGTGGTTCTTCTACTCCCTACTGTCTGTTTTCTAATTGTCGTATGCGTTGGGACACTGTGTTGCTCGGACTGACTGACATCTTGGGTGAACTTCTCCGCTCCCCTCTGGCTCTTCCAGGAGCCATCTCTGTTCTGGGGGAGCTTTCTGCTGGTTTTAGGCAGTTTTTACTGAAGAAATGTCCCTGTTCTCAAAATGGCGAAGCAGGATGCAGTCCCTGCGCCTCGGTTTCAGGCACACTCTTCTGCGCACCCGGTCTGCCCGGACGTGGGTGCCTGCTCCCTCTGTGGCTCAGACTGCTGGTCGGAAGGGCCTGGCGTGGAATAACTTCCCGGCTGGCCACTGGGTCCTCCAGAAACCTTCTGCCCTTTTCAAGCAGACTTAAGAAATGTCCTGTTTTATAGGGTGTTAGTGACTTTTTTTTTCTGGTCGCTAGGTGGCGCCAGAGATTTCTCCTATTGTCCTTGGGGGGCTGTTTTTCGCCTCCCCCCACCCCGTGGGACAGAGAACAGAGCGGGAATGGTAGGGTACACCTCAACAGCTTTGGGGTGCTGTGTCTGCCTTGTGCCCCACCGTCGTGGGAAGAAAACCACGCCCCGAATTTTCGTGCCCCGGGTCTCAGTTCAAAGCCCTCAGGTCCAGGACGCGGGCTGTAGCCCAGTTCAGTGGCGCGGGAATGGCGCCTTTTGCACCCGGCTCCCGTGCCTGGGCGCCTGGTTCCTGCTTACTCAGGGAGGGGACCTTCACCTCAGTGAGGACCTCCGTGCGTCTCCCCGCAAGCCTAGGTCGTCTCCCGCCAGCCTAGGTCACAGGCGCGGGGACCTGGGCAGCCGCGATCCAGGTCTGCACTTGCTTTTCAAGCGCGCCAGGCGCGCCGCGTTCCCGCCGCAGGCACGGCAGCCCGGGCTGTGTGCGCGTCTCCCGGGGTCTTTGTTCTTCTCTAATGGCGCCGGAGCCGTTCGCTCACCGCCGCCGGCGGATCCTGCAGGTTCGTCTCAGCTCCCGTTCACGGGGTGTGGTGGCTGCAATAGTTCCATTCGCTCACAGTCCCGCTTGCTGCGTCGTTTGTTCTTGTCGGTGTTTTGGTTTGTTGTTTCCTCTCTCTGCTGGTCGGAGAGTGCCGCCTCTGTGGGCGGGGGAGGGGAGCAGGGTTCTGCGCTTCCCTCCCTTCTAGTCCTCTTTTATGGCCACTTTCTTCTTCGCGGCAGTTCGCTGGCGTCACCCGTTTATCTTCCGTGTCCCAGTTCTCACTGGGACCTGCCGCTTTCCTCCCTATTCACTTTTTTTAATGGGAGATCTTACTCGCAGCGTCTCCTCGCCGCCATTGCTCCGCCCCTCCCCACCACTGGTCCAGCTTTATCCTCTCCTAGGTTTCCTCTTCTGCCTTGCTCTACCAGGGATTGCTATTGTCTTCACAACTCCACCCTTCAACTTTCCTTCCTTTTGAGTCCCTTCTCTCCAATAGTTGTCAGCAGATGCTATCCTCCAAACCCTCAAGATGCTGGAAATCAAAATCACGAGTAACAAGTTGTCACCTCCACTGTGCCAGAAAGTGACAGATGTCATCATCAAGTATCTGAGGACCTTGGTGAGGAGCCTGTGTCTCTGGGTTGAGGGATCTGGGGGAAAAGAGAATCCTAGGTCTGAACCCAGAGGTTCATTTGTGGGGGGTAATTGCACTTAGAAACTAAGTGGGGCCTGGAATATGAGTACCTCAAGCTTCTGACAGTTTGCTACAACCCATATCTCACCCCTGGATATATCCCAAGAATGGTGACCTAGACAGAAATGCAGATACTGTTATGGAATGAAGGGGTGAAAGGTGAGATGCAAAGGAGAGAAGGATTTGGGCTATTGGCCTCAAAGTCCGATCTGGTCTTCAGACTGTCCATGCCCTGGGCAGACAGTCCCTTTTGTTACTGCCACTCCACCAGCCATCTCGATCTACTAACCTGTTTAATCTACCCAACTGTCTGCTAGTCCCCCCCCAACCCCGTAGACTGTATATTCATGACTCTGCTTAACAGTCTACCCACATACTTCCATATTGACTTTCCTGGTGCTGGGTTAATCTGGTATCTCCTTTTCTAGGGTAATTATATACCTATAGATATCTTTCTTCCTGTTGACTCACCTTCCTTACCATACCCATCTCTCATCAAAAACCTTGACCTGCTAGGGGCTTTGTAAAGTTGCTTCCACAATCTACCCACCTTCCTGGTGGTTTACTAGCTGCTGCATGGGAAACTCCCTGATCTGGGAACCTTGATCCAAACTCTTACCCCAACACACAAGCCAGAGATTTCTTGTCTTCTTGTGCTCCCTCACACTCTAAGATGCTCTTGTGCTCCATCACTGAAAAGGTGAACACTGGATAAGGTGGTAGGTGGGGTAGGTGAATTCCTTTTATTTTTTTTAAGATTTATTTATTTATGCATACAAGAAATGGGGTGAGTGGGGGGGGTGAGAGGATTCACTAGAGACAGAGTGCGGGGCAGAACAGGCAGATGTACTGCAATATACTGCTGAGGGGAGCGGTGGGCGAGACAGGAGAGGTCTGCTGCACCATGTGGTGCACCATGTGGTCTGCTGCACCCGGCTCCCTCCCTGGGAATCGAATTCATGCCACAGTGGCTGCCGATAGCTTGATAGTGCTGTGTCTTTAACTCCTACACCACCTGGGAGGTCCAAATTCCTTCCCTTTGGATAGAAGAGAATTACTTCTTGACCAAAGCTGATTCTCAGCAGCCTGGGGACTCATCTTGGAGATTAACCTTGGGACATTTAGTCTTCCTCTTTTCAGAAGCCATCCAAAGAATTGGAGGAGAAATGTACTGCAGTCCTACTGGCTATAGGGTCCTACCATCCGGAAATGATCACTGAAAAACTCTGGGACAGAGTTTATCTGTACACCTTGCCTCCCAGAAGCCTCCTGGTTGCCGTTGGGAAACTCACCGTCTGCCCGGGTATGGATCCCTGTGGTGGAAGAGTGAGTCTGAATTGAGGACTTGGTCACGGGCGGGGTGCTGTCATGTCCATCCTCCTGCCTCCTCTCACTGAACATTTCTACTGAGCAATTGGGGGTGTGTAGTGGGGAGGAGACCAGCCAGGATTCCTGTGGGATTGATGAGCACTCAGGAGGGAGGCTGACCAGGAGTGGCACAGTAGGAAAAATATTAGGACAGAGGGGACTGGGACAGGAGAAATGACTTGGAAACAAATGAAGATGGAGGGAAAAGACAGATGAGAATGCTCCCATTCAACTGTGGTGGGAAGGAGCAGAAGAGTAAGTGACGGATGCTTTGTTTAGGGGACCCTGAAGCTGTGCAGCTGTCAGGGTCTTGGAAGGCAGTGTGTGTGTGTAGGTTGTGGCGATAGCTTGATTTGTCTGTCTGCTGACATCCATTATTGTGCAGGATGAGCCCAAGCCTTGCCATGTGGGCTCCCTCCTGGCACAGATACCAGTAACAGCAGACACACCCTCACCCACCCCTCTCCCTCCCTCCAACACCAAGCGGGCAGGAAAGTCAAGTCACTGGACAAATAACACCCCTGCCCCTTCTTGACCACTTGGAGTTGGATCTAAGGAGAGGCTGTGGGACGTCAGCTGACCTGCTGGACACAAGCGTCCAAATGAAAAGGCATGTGGGCTGGCTGCAAAGCAAGCACAGGGCACACCATGGCAGAAATGCATCTCCTGAACGAATCCCGCCAACTTCAGATAGCACGACCCTTGGTTTCCTTAAGGGCCCTTGGAGGGCAGTGTGTGTACGCAGGCTGTGGCAAGGCCTTGTGTTCGCTTGCTGTGCTAGCACGCCTTGTTGAGCTGATCTTCCCAGCAGACCTGTGACGTAGTCACATCAGGTATAGCAGTCCTTGTTGACAGCGGAGGAAGCTGAAGCTCAGATATAGATATATATCTATAATAATATATATATATCTATATTATATATATTTTATATAAATATATATCTCTCTATATATATTTGAAGATTTATTTTTATTTATTTATGCATAGACGAACTGGGGTATAGGCCAGAGGTGCAGGGAGAGAGAGGATTCACCAGAGACAGAGTGGGGAACAGAACAGGCAGAATGACCGAAGTACACTGCTGAGGGGAGCAGCAGGGAGTCAGGAGCGGTCTGCTGCGCCATGTGGGTTGCTCCCTGGCCAGCCGGGGAATCGAACTCATGCTGCAGAGGCTGCAGACAGCTTCATAGGCTATGTCTTAACCCCTTGCGCCACCGGGGAGGCCCAGAAGCTCAGCTATATGAAGTTACTCACTCCAGGTTGTCCGTACTCTTTGGAGGCAGAGCTAGTGAGCAGAACCCAGTGCTCCTGGCCCCTAGTCATCAGTGTCCTAGTCAATAAGGTCTTCTACAGTAATGCCGGAAGACTCCCTCCCTGGAAGAGAAATGTCTTTCTTGTACTCTCCCTCTCAGGTATAGCCCACTGCATTGGCACCACATGGGAACATATCCTGCGCCTTCTGGGGATGACCCAGGAAGAGGAAGACATGTTGGCATTATGTCAAGGTGAGGGGTAGGAGGGCCTGGGCAAACTTCTTTGGGAATTAGGGATGGAGGAAAGAAGAGCAGGAAGAGACTGGGTTTTCTGAATGTGGACCCAGAAACCTGGAGAAGGTGCAGGAGAGAACAAACCTAAAAGCAGGCCAGGTGCGAACAGATCCTTTTCTCCATCTGACCTTTCGTGAGGATGGTTGGTTTGGGGCAAGGACCAAGCTCGATGGGGGTACTGTGGGGTTGACAGTCTCAATCACTTTTCCCACCCCTGCAGGGGGGATCAGCTGCAGTTGGAAGGCAAGATAACCGTAGTGGTGGTGGTGGTGAGTGGGTTGGTCTTTCCCGGAACAGAATGCCAGAGGCCCTTTTAGTGTTGGGATGAGAAGACTATGCCCACATGTATGTATGTTGCCCTTTGTGGCAAAAGAAGGATGCTGAGCAGCCAACTCCCTGCTTCCCACACAGCACTCAGTGGATTGGTCGTCAATGTCCGAAAGCATCTGGATCTGGGCGCCCACGCTGATGAAGTGATGGACATCACACAGGAGGCAGTGTCCATCAAGGCCTACTATACTCTCCGGGTGCTCTTGAACCGTTGGCCCATGAAGACCAAGGTAAAGGAGGGAGTGGGAGCTAGCAGGGGTCAGTGAGGGCTGAAGAGTGATTTTTTTTAAAGATTTATTTATTTACATATACAAGAGCTGGGGTACAGGCTAGAGATGCGGGGCTGAGAGGACTCACCAGAGACAGAGTGGGGAACAGAACAGGTGGATCTACTGAAACACACTGCTGAGGGGAGCAGCGGGCGAGACAGGAGAGGTCTGCTGTGCCATGTGGGTCAGCTCCCTGGCTGAGGATCAAACTCATGCTGCAGTGACTGCAGCATAGTGGATAGCTTCATTGTTGCATCTTAACCCCTTGCACCACCAGGGAGGCCCTGAAGAAGTGAATCTTGTGCCCAGGGAACATAAATTCTCCAGACTTTTCTTGGAAAGGCGAGTGACTCTCCTCAGGCTCCTGTTCCCATTGTCCAGAGAGGGCACAGTCAAAAAAACTCCACTGTCCATTCAGTTATGTTATGCAAGTAATTTCCTGATGACCCTGAATGCCAAGTGTGTGCTAGGCCCTCGGAATACCAAGACAGCTAAGACCAAGCCTGAGGGCTTGTCCCGCCTTCCTCCCCGAGCTGAGGCCTGTGCGTTGTGTCTCCCTGGGCACAGGAGGCAGAGCAAGCTCTGGTCATTGCCGGCCACCTCTTCTTCCTCATTGCACCATCCAAACTCAAGAACCAAGTGAACCAGTTAGTCCGCTGGCTGATGATGTTATTCACCCATGTGACACCTTTCTACATCTCCCAGGTCAGTAGGGTGGGGGTGAGACTGTTGCCTGAAATCATCATTGCTGTGAAGTGAATTCAAAGGTTCATCAAAAGAGCAGTCTATTAAGGAGACTATTCAGAGCCAAACTGAGGACCGAGGCCTGGGAGTCTATGAGAATATGTCTCTATGGTTTACTCTCAGTTTCCCAAAGAAAAAAATACACCTACTTAATTTCAATCATTTTCAGTATAATTTGGTTCTAATTTTCTTAGCTAATGATCAAGAATAAGTCCTTTTTTAGTGCAAAGTGACCTCTCTCCTTTTTTATAGATTTATTTATTAATCATACAAAAACTGGGGTGTGTGAGGATTCACCAGAGAGAGTAGGGAGCAGAACAGCAGATCTGACCAGCGGGCAAGATAGGAGAGTTTTGCTGCGCCATGTGGGTAGCTGCCTGGTGGGCCGGGGATGGAACTCGTGCTGCAGAGGCTGCAGATAGCTTCACAGTGCTGTGTCTTAACCCCTCGTGCCACCAGGGAGGACCCTCTTTATTATTTTTTTTATTTCTTTATTTTTTTGCAAAGTGATCTCTTTATCTTACAAAGCCAACTTAGAGCTGTCTGTGTGGAAGATGGATAGCTGACTTTCTTATTCTAGAACATGCCCCTATAGATGCAGTAAGGTGCAGTTAGGCCATTATCTCAGGCTCTTTCTTTCAGCAACTAGTAAGCATGATGGGTGGACTTGGTCTGTGGAATTTTCTTCTCGCCTCAGGCTTTCCTCACAGCAAACAGATGTTATTGTTTTGCTGACTCCAACCTCTGAGATGACTCTGCAGTATGGTCACAGAGGAAGCTATGGTTCTAGTAGAATGTAGAATTTTCTCTGTTTTTAGTCCACAGTTGGACATTTAACTGTGGAAACTTTAGTCCACAGTTGCGGTCCGTATTTATTGTTATGAATACTTCGTGTTGCATTTGGCAAAGGATGACCTATAGGCCAAATCCGGCCTTCAATTTGTTTGATGAATAATATTCTATGGGAACTCAGTCACACCCATTAGCTGCTTTGCTTTTCTCTGATTTCTTTGTATCTGACCTTAGACCTAGATTATCAGGTTCATGAGACTGGATGAAGCCCACCTGGGGAATCTCCCCATTTTAAGCTCAACTGATTTGGGGCCTTAAGTATAGCTGCAAAATGCCTTCACATCTACCCCTACACCAGTGCTTGATTGAATAACCGAGAGAAGGTGTATGCACACAAGGGGATCATCTCAGAATTGTAACATAGAAATGTGACACCAATATTAGATGTTTTTATGAGTGGAAGACTCAGAGTCTAAGTTTTCTGATTGTTTTTCAGTTTTCCTTGCATTTCAAGGGTATGTCTGAAACCAAGTTCTCTCCAACTTTTAATGTGGAGCCCAATGAAAAGAAGTGCCATTATGTCAAATGGGTGGGAAACACTGAGTTAAAATGAAACAAATTTCTTTTTTTTTTTTAAAGATTTAATTTATTTATTTATACAAGCACTGGGTACAGTCAGAAGTGCGGGAGGGTGAGAGAATTCACCAGAACAGAGCCAGAGCAGGGAACAGTACAGGCAGACTGACGAAACACACTGCTGAGGGGAACAGCGGGGCGTGGCAGGAGAAGTCAGCACACCATGTGGGACCCTCATGGGCGGTGGGGGATCGAACCTGTGCTGCAGAGGTTCGCAGCCCAGCCCTCAACTGCTGTGCCGCCAGGGGAGGCCTTGAAACAAATTTCTTAACTAGAACTCAAAGCTTTCACTATGCAAGTTGGCTGGTCCTCTAAAAAGCAGATGTCAACGTGGAATTAGAGGTCTGAAAGTTACCTTAGAGGAAGGCTTGTGAGGGCAAGCCAAGAAGGATCTGGAGAAAGCTGGGAGAGCATCAGATTGTGATGTCATCTGACGATAAGGAAAGGGTGTGGAAGGAAGGAAGGAAGGATGGGAAGAAGAGAGGAAAATCTTGTATTTAAGTGTAGTTTTTATTTTGTTATTTTTTAAAGGTTTATTCATTTATGCATACAAGTGCTGGGGTATAGGCCAGAGGTGTGGGGGGGGGGGTGAGAGGAGTCACCACAGACAGAATGGGGAAAAGGAGAGGCAGACTGACTGAAATACACGGCTGAGGGGACCAGCGGGCACGTCAGGAGAGGTCTGCTGCGCCATGTGGGTCACCTTCCTTGTAGGGAATGGAACTCGTGCTGCGGAGGCTGCGGATAACTTCACAGTGCTGAGGCTTAATCCCTTGAGCCACCAAGGAGGGCCCTGAAGTGTTGTTTTGAGAGCATTTCAGCAAAACCATCAGGGAGTCACTGGGCCAAAATCTCCCATCAGAAAAGCACCATGTCTTGCCACAATGGCTGTGTCTTCTTGGACCTGCCATCCTTAGGCTGTGGCTGGGAGAAATCTGTGGGAATCTGGGTTTAGTTGTAACATAGAATGGATTTTTGAGCATGGCAGTTGGATTTGTTGGTCTGTTATACCCTCAAAGTAGGCACTAAGGGCACATTTTTCATAACTGCTGAATATGCTCATGTGCGTTTACGAATTTCCAAAAGGAGGAATTTTTTTTGGGGAGTGGAACACCCATTAGCCTCAAGTTTCCAGGGACCAGAGTTCACTGCCACCATTGCACCACCACTTCAGAGGCCCTTTCCTGGGGATGTGAAGTGCTGCCCTTCCACACATGTGCTCGGCATTTTCTCCATGAGCGCACTGACCACTGTCTCTCATGTATTTGTCCTCCTGCCACATGTCTGCATGTTGCTGTAGAGTAAGGTCTATATGCATTTGGAACTGAGGTTTGCTCTGTGTGGACACTTAGTTGGTTGGAGGATGTTACTTGCATCCTCAGTGCTTCTGGTCTGCAGGTGAGGTCAGGTCAAGATCTATCCCATCTCGACTAACATCAGAAATGTTTTCTCAACGATCTTTCTTCCTCTCCCTCCTCTTCTTTTACTGCACGTGATGTATGTATTTATCCGTCCATAGAATATTTTTTTGGATCAGCCAGCATTAACCAGCTCTAGCTGAGAAAGGTGGGCACATTTGGGGCTCCACCAGCCAGACCAAAGAGCAGGAAATATTAAATATTGAAAATCTAGCAGAGGGATTTCTGCTTATGGCAGAAAGAGTAAGTGGGGCCAAATTTACCATCTTGCTTGAAACAACAAAAAGCACCACAAAGTGTGTGAAATAGGGCCTCCCTGGTGGCACAAGGGGTTAAGATGCAACTTATGAAGCTGTCCGCAGCCTCTGCAGCATGAGTTCAATCCCCGGCCAGGGAGCAACCCACATGGTGCAGCAGACCTTTCCTGTCTCGCCCACTGCTCCCCTCAGCAGTGTATTTCAGTCCATCTGCCTGTTCTGCTCCCCACTCTGCCTCTGGTGAATCCTCTCACCCCCCGGCACCTCTGTACCCCAGGTTTGTATGCATAAATAAATAAGTCTTTAAAAAAAGAAAAAAACAAAGTGTATGAAATCATGGTTCTCGAGACCTTGGGCATCAGGCAGCAATGAGCCGTGATCCCTCAGGGGGAGGAAAGAGATGAGCTGAGCCCGGTGCTCCCCGTGGGGCGGGCAGACCATCGCTGCACTCAGCTGTGAGGAACGAGACCCTGGGACTTCCTTGCAAGGGTCCGAGGACAGTGGGACACGCCGCTGGCTGGGGAAGTCCTCACGGAGGTGAGCAGAGAGGGCTTCCCGGAGGCCGCCAGGGCCCGGCCGGCGTGTGCTGACACCCTCCTTTTCCCACGCAGTGTGTCTGCCAGCTCGTGGACTCTCTGGCTCTCAGCGGCTGTGGAGGGGTGAACTTGGAGTCCCAGCTGGAGAACTTGACGGCCATGCTGTTGAGGCTGGTGAGAGCGGAGCAGAGCCCCGGGCTTGCTCTCTGCTCGGAGATGGGCCCCAGCCCTGGGGCCGTCCTCCACGCGGCTCGGGAGTCTTTGGGGTGGCGACCTGGGCCACCCCTCTCGGGCTCCCCCGCAATAGGCGGCGCCTGGATTCTGAGCAGGAGTGGGGTGTTCTCTAGGAGCTGAGCAGGACCCCTTCCGTAGGTTTCTTGGAGGAGACAGGCCTTGCTGCCCCCCCCCCCAAACTCTGGGAAAAGGCAGGAGGTTCGACCTACTCCATCCCACCTGTGGGAAATGTCAGAGCCTCTGGTTGTACCCCAATTCTCAGAGGCATAAACTGGAGTGGGCGCGTAAGAACAGGACAATTGAACATTATTCGCCTAAAGGTGTTACCTTCCGTGTATTTAGTTTGTGGCCCTTGTCTCCTGTCCTCTGGGAGCTGGGACTGTGGCGTCCTGGGTGCTATTTTCCTGCTCTCCTGATGGTCAAGCACCACACTGGTCGCGGCCACGGGCCCTGGTATCCCCCCCTGCACCAGGGCTGTTGATTTGGTGCCCTCATGTCTCATGGCTTTGTTCTCCCCACAGCTGACCGTAAAGGTCAACACCGCAGACCCCCACTCTGTGCAGAACAGCCACCTCGTCCTGAGGACTTTCAGTGTCCTAAGTGAGTGCTGTTCCCCTGGCCAGGCATGTGGGTGGTGGGTGCTCAGGACCCCTCCTGGCCCTGGGGTGGGGCTTCCGTCCGGCTGGCAGAGATGCCAAGTCAGCCCTGGGAGACTGCCTGAAATGAAATGAGTCCCCAAAAGCACAAGCCTGCTCTGCCCCTACCTCCTTTGCTCCCTCCCCTTCACCTCGGAGTGGAGTCCTTTCATGAGCCCCAGCTCAAAAGCCGACCCTGGAGTTAAGGCTTTGATGCTCACAAGTGGTGTCAGAACTGTGGGAGCGCCTGGGCAGAGAGGCCAAGTTCCCGCCAGGTGAAGCCTGTACCCCAGGCCTGGCACAGGGCAAATGCCGGGTAGACACTGGCTCTCTTTCCTCCTGCTTCATTTCACTCACCTGATGGACCCAGTTTCTCCAGTTCCCTGCATCAGTGGTTTGCTCGTGAGCATGAGTTCCTTCTACTTACCCCCTGCCATGGAAACATGCCCTTGACTGCCTTGCACTCGCACCCTCTGACAGCCAAGCTGTACAGTGACCAGGTGGTGTTCTTGTTACGCAAGACCATGGAAACCAGGGACCCGGACATGGTGGCATCCGCCCTCCAAGTCTTCATGGATTTGTTCCAGGAGGGTGAGTGTGCATTGGACCTGGCCTGGAGGGTCTTCTTTCCAATTCATCTCCTTTCTCTGAGCGACAGTCCCTTAGAGTCGTTAAAAGCACAGTCGAAACTGGGAATGTGATGGGTTGACACCAGTCGGAATACACACCCGGGCAGCTTACTTTTATTCCATGCCTCTAGTCATCATCTGAAAAGTGGAGGTGAAACTAAAGCCTGCCTCAGGGTTTTTTATATCATTTTTTAAAAAAGATTTATGTATTTATGCTACAAGAACTGGGGTACAGGCCAGAGCTGTGTGAGAGGACTCACCAGAGACAGAGCAGGGAACAGAACAGGCAGACTGACTGAAATACTCTGCTGAGGGGAGCAGCGAGGAAGACAGCAGAGATCTGCTGCGCCAAGTGGGCAGTTCCCTCGCTAGCCGGGGATCGAACTCATGCTGCAGAGGCTGTGGATCGCTTCACAGCGCTGTGCTTAATTCCTTGCACCAGCAGGGAGACCCCAGGGTTGTTTGTTTTTAAATATTTATTACGTATACAAGAACCAAGATAGGCCAGATGGCTCGATGTGCGGGATGTGGTGGGGTGACAGGATTCACCAGAGACAGAGTGGGCAACAAAACAGGCAGACTGACGAAATACACTGCTGAGGGGAGCAGAGGGCGATCAGGAGAGTCTGCTGTGCCATTGGGTATCTTGCCGGCAGGCTGGGATCGAACCCATGCTGCAGAGGCTGCTGACTGTTTCACAGTGAGGCACTCAAACACCTGCACCACCAGGGAGGCCCCAGGGCTTTTTTTAAGAAAATATTAAATGAGGCATTTCCACCCACGTCAACCATGCCATTGGTTTTATGGAGGTCAGTCTAGGATCACATTCTGCAAACGGGCTTCAACTTCAACAAGTGTGTGTTAAACCTTTGCTGTGTGCCTTGCACAGAGCCAGGCACTGAAAACACACTACAAAGAGACGCAATCTTTGTCTCAGGAACTCACTGTTGAGGGAGGAATTGAGGTGCACCCAACAAAATGACACAAGACCGCAGAGTCGGGTGCTTGGAGGCACGCGTGACCACGTGCAGCAGAAATGCAGAGCAGGGGACAGTCGGGAGACAGTGGGCTCTGTGCAGACGTGCCCGGAGCAGGAAGGAGCTCTCCAAGTGGCAGGTTACAAAAGGCTTCACAGTGAAGCAGGATGGCAGTGGAAGTTCTATGGGGGAGGTGTGCAGACGTGGGGAGAGCAGCTTGGCTGGAGAGATGGCTTTGCATGGGTGGGCTCAGTGCCAGCTGGATGAAAATATTGTTTTAGGTCAGTATTTAGTCTGGTCTGAAGAAGAAGGATGGTGGATTAAGCTTTGGGGTGCCCTGGCCTCTGAACCAGGGACTGCAACCTCCCCTACCTCACCCCCATTCTATTTCACTCTCAAGCAGCAGAGACAGGAGGAGGGCACTGACGCACCTGCACACATGTCTTTTCTCTAGTGACCCAGTCTGAGAAGAGGAAGAGTGAAATCCTGCACTCCACCATTATCATGGTCCAGACGGATCTCAAACCCGTGAGCAGGGAGACTGGACGCCTGGGCTGGGAAGGGGCTTGCTTACTTGACACCTCAAGATCGTGTAAAATACAGAGGGGAAGGCAGTTGGGGGATAAGAAGTGAGGCACCCCAACGGGACCCAGGCTGCTGCCTGTGGATTACATTGGGATTCTGCAAAGCCTGAGGAGGGTTTGAGGAGCCGACAGGTGGTTTCTTCTACCTATTCTGAGGTTTTCTGTAGGAAGTGCTGGGGTGTCCTACTGGGATGTGGTGTTCTAGAGGATACTAGTTCTGTCTCCCGAGAGTTCAAATTACAGAGAAGACCTCAAGCGTGTCTGGCACGAGGCTCAAGAAGCCGCCTTTCTACAAGCTCTGCTGCTGGGGCTGCAGGCAGCAGTGTCAGCCGCCAGCTCCAGGTTATGCAAGAATGAAGGGGCAGGTGCTGTAGGTGTCAAGTGGCAGATGATACATCATCCTAAAAGCAAAGTCCTCAGTCTCAGAAGATAATGGAGAATAGGGATCTTGAAGGATGGACCCTCAGAACTTGTGGAATTTGTTCCTGGCTTTCCCTACGAAGGCCAGAACATGAGACCTTTCCAGAGCTCAGATCCCACCGCCCAACTCTCCCGCCAAAGTCTCCTGCCTCTTGATGTAAAGTGTGGACAAGTAAACACTTCTGTTCTCCAGGAGGTTGGCAGGGGCCAAAATGGGTTGGACTCTGGGGCAGCATAGAGAGTGGTCAGGTTCAACCACCGGTGATTTGTCAGCACCCTGACCCTGCTGAAGAGTCACACTTGGACTTGGGGACCCAAGATCTGAGTCCCCTGAAGACAACCCACCCACTCTGCACTCTGCATCCTTACTTGGAGCCTCAGCGGTCACCCTAGAGGTCCCTGCCGTGCTCCCTCTCACCCTGATCTGTGACCCCACAGGTGAGGAGGATGTGCTGCGCTTCATCGAGATGCTGGGGCAGCACAAATACCTGGCCCTGCCCCAGAGCAATGCCATCCTCGACTACATGGTGAAGCTCAGCGTATCGGACTCCTTTGTGAGCATGGGTGC